CAGTCTACATCCCAATCCCAAAGAAGAGCAGTGCCAAAGAATGCTCCAACTACTGTACAATTGCACTCATTTCACACGCTAGCAAGGTTATGCTCAAAATCCTACAAGCTAGGCTTCAGCAGTATGTGGACCAAGAACTCCCAGAAGTACAAGCTGGATTTTGAAGGGGCAGAGGAATCAGAGAGCAAATTGCTAACATGTGCTGGATTATGGAGAAAGCCAGAGAGTTCCAGAAAAACATCTACTTCTGCTTCACCGACTATGCAAACTCAAAGTTATGGTTTTTCCAGCAGTGATGTATGGAAGTGAGAGCTAGACAGTTGGACACGACTAAACAACAACAACATTAATGTTCTCCATTCATCTACTGTATGGAGTACATATTTGACATTTTATTTATGCACCTACTGACTGAATTTGCATATTGTTCCCCTACTTCTGCTGAACACTCTCAAGGTTGTCTTAAATGGTTGGCAAAGAGCTTCAGTTGCTTTAGTGGGCTACAATCAGACATACATTATCTCTAATTTGAAGTCTATTCTCAAGATGGTTGAATTCCATTAAAACAATGAGTCAACCTTATTGGGATAGAAGTAATTATCTGTATACAGACAGTTCAAAAACATGGGCACAGCCAGATTCAGATCCTGACTCAGGTCAGACTGGCCTTGGTTCAGTCACTATTTTACAGCCGAATTTACCTCTTACAACCCTTGTGAGGAAGGCAAAAGAAAGGCACATCTGAAAAAAAAACCAAATAATCTTCCATTCTACATCTTTCCTGCTGAAATCACATATAATCAAACCAGGAAAACATTGATCTGTCCTACCAACGGATGGTAAAATTGTTTGAAGTTGAATGCTAGTCTACTTACCATACGTCCATACATTTTGATGGCCAGCCCACATTTGTCACAGAAATGGATTGGGGTATCATCTTTCTCGCCAAGCAAATTTATCTGTCAAAATGGCAATCACAATCTTTAGTATTGTTTTTTCAACCTACATATGCCTCTCCTGAAGTCCTCATTTGCCCCAGAGAAGGACACACTCTAATGGCTGAAAATCAGCAGTTAAATTAGCATGACTTTAATGTGGCCACCAAGATTACAGAATCAATTGCTGTACCTTGAAGTCCCAGAAAAGGTGTCCAGGGAACCGCCTTTGATTACTAAATACATCACCACCTTTGCATTCATACCGCTCTTCTTCATTGTAGTCAAATTCTTCTGCAGAAAAACAGATTTTAGTATAATAATGCTGTAATACATCTCTTCTGAACGATTACCATGATTTAAATGTGTATAAACAAGATATTCATGACAGATACAGGAAAATAGGTAGAATCCAAAGCACTCATGCATAACACATGAACATGAATATTTTTGACCAGTAAAAATATTAACCTAATTTTCATATAGCTGCACACAGAACACTGTACTATGTTTCAGTCTGTTAATACAATCCAGAATTTTAAAATATGGTGCCTTGAATTCAACTTGCAGTACCAATTATGGAAGATCCACTTATCAGTAAGACTTAAAAGAATACTGACTCACAATTCAACAACTGAATCAAATAGGCATACTGCAGCTAGGATTACCAACTGGATTTAGGACAGGGATGGTTGAACTGTGTGAAGCTGAGGGACATTTTTCAGATTTGCTGGCAGCTCAATGGCTGCGCTCCTAACCAGGGTAGAGTGGAGTGGGGGCAAAAGAGGCTTAACCAGAAGACTAATTTGCATATTTAATGTTGTTGTTGTTATTATTATTCAGTGGGTTTTTGTTAACTGAAAAGTGGTCAGAATCCAACTGAATAAATACTCTGAATTTCAGCAGCAAATTAACACTAGTTAAGAAGCCTGTTACTGCCAACTTCTTAACAAGTGGCAATCTGATGCTTATATTTATGCCACTAGACCTATGCCAATAAGTATAAGTAACAGGACTCTGGCTAATGGATTTAATTTTTAAAAAAACAAAACAAATTTTAAAATGGGTTTAAACAAAATGTCCATATGCAACCTTTAGGAGACTTTCTGAGCAGTATTTCCCCAACCCCATAAAACATGGAGGGAAATAGAGGGCTGGAAATCTCATTCTTGAGCCATGTAAACACCCTTTTCCACCTTGATCTAGGTACCTGGTCTTTAGGTAAAGGTAAAGCTTCCCCTTGACAATTTGTCCAGTCATGTCCGACTCTAGGCAGCAGTGCTCATCTCTGTTTCCAACCCACAGAGCTAGCGTTTGTCCGCAGAAAATTCTCCGTGGTCACCGTTTACCTTACCACTGAGGTGGTACCTATTTATCGACTCGCATTTTTGCATTTTGCATGCTTTCAAACCGATACATTGGCAGGAGGTGGGACAAGCGACGGGGACTCACTCCATTGCGTGGATTCGATCTTATGACTGCAGGTCTTCTGACCTTGCAGCACAGAGGCTTCAACGGTTTAACCCGCAGCGCCACCACGTCCAAATCAGCCTTGGCAGTCACTGCATGAGCCAACTCCACCCAAATTTGAATGTGACATCATTGTGTCATATACAGTGGTGCCCCGCATAGCGACGATAATCCGTTCCGAATAAATTGTCGCTATGTCGATTCGTCGCTATGTGGGGCAAAAAAGCCCATAGGAACACATTAAAACACGTTTAATGCGTTCTTATGGGCAAAAAACTCACCGTTATGCGGAAATCCTCCATGCGGCCACCATTTTCTCAGCCCGGTATGTGAGAAAAGGGCACGAAAGCACTGCGGGTGGCCATTTTATTCCGGCGGCCATTTTGGAACTGCTGATCAGCTATTTTTAAAACATCGCTATGTGAAAATCGGTAAGCGAAATGCTTACCGATCATTGCAAAGTGATTTTTTGCCATTAAAAAGATCGCAATGCGATCGCTTTTGCGATCGCAAAAAACAAATTGTTATGCAGATTCTTCGTTAAACGGAGCACTCGTTAAGCGAGGCACCACTGTACTGGGAAGTTCAGCACAGACTGAAAAACATCAACCAGGCATAGCAACTCCTACAGGACTTAAGACCAGGATAATATATAACAGCAGTGGTTTGGTCAAGTCAGTATCACATCAAGTCTGGATTTTTTTTAAATGGAAGAGAAATCCTTGTCTGCACTAAGTATATTTAAATAGTAAGAGTTTTCTACATCTCCCTTTTGCATGTATTGGGTCTTTGATGAACAGCAGTCACAGAAAAATTTTGATATTTCCATATAGTGTTTTTCAAAGCAGTATACCTTCTTCTCCAGGCTTTGATGGTACCCTGTTCATACTTCTTGCAGGACGAGGTGGTGTAGGTTTAGCTTTGTTGGTCTGTTTGGAGATGAGCTTTATAGGGATGCGTCGGCGAACATCAAGACCACCCAATGATCCAGAACTATTTGTCCCCTGCAAATCATTGTCTGTATGAAAAAATAAACATAGATGTATCAGTTTCTATTTATTCTGATGCTAAATATCACTTGAATTCCCTTCAGAATTTTCAGTTATAATGACACATCCATCCGTAATCATTTACTTGTAAAGTGCTCTTATACTCAGAGAAGCACAATCTGCAAGGTTTCCACAGAAAAATTCTGAATAGCAAGCAGTCTCACACATAAGCATTAGGTGCAGATAACGAGGCTGCGGCCACCTGGGGCCAGACTGACCACTCACAATGCCGCCGCGAGCTCCACGGAGCCTTCCTATCGCTCCACTGCTAGCGATAGATTAGCCATTCCTGGCAGAAGATGGGCTGACGAGCCTCTCTGCCAGGTCGCAGAGTGACTGAATACAAATACACCCATCTCTAATAAGGATCTTTCCTGATGAACAATGGCATAATAGGTGGCCAACTGACCAGTAAGCTGGTCAGTCTCCCTAACTGGGTAGTATTTAGCAAAATTATGGTTTCTAGCACACAAAGTCTATATGCACATTTTCAAGAATAGGTCAGCTAGAGGCATGCCACTGATCAACAGCTATAAGAAGACTAAACATAAATCCTGCTGCCATTTCTTAATATATGCTATGCGTTTGTCAGGCTACTTGCGTACTATTGCTTTCAAAAACTGTTACCAACATTAGGTAGCCAGGCTAGATAACTTCTAAAAATTCTTGTTTAAAACTCACCTATTCTATCAAGTCTTTATCTTAATCTTTTAGTCCTCATTTTAAAAAATATATACATATTAATTTCCTTTGTTCATTTCACCCTGATTACTCTGGTCTCTTCTCCCATCTGCCCTAGATATTTGTTGATGCTCTTAACTATAGGAACTATATGCTACTTGAACATAGGCATCAATAGTCTGCTTAGTTACAAACCTGACAAAAGATGAACTGATATTCTTAATACAGTGGTGCCTCGCATAGCGATCGCTCCATTGAGCGACAAAATCGCTTAGCGACGGAGTTTTTGCGATCGCAAAAGCGATGGTTCCTATGGGGTTTTTTCGCTTTGGGATGATCGCAGGGAAGCGATCATGGCAAAGCGACCCTTTTTTAACAGCTGATCGGCGGTTTCAAAATGGCCACCGGGGAAACAAAATGGCAGTGAAAATGATGGCGCTATGTTGGATTTTCGCTTAAAGGTGAGTTATAAGCCCATAGCAACGCATTAATCGCGTTTTAATGTGTTTCTATGGGCTTTTTAATTTTGCTTAGCGATGTTTTCTATTAGCAACGTTTTTTCCAGAACGGATTAACGTCGCTAAGCGAGGTACCACTGTACAAAGTTATTCAAATCTGCAGTACACAGTAGGAAACTACAAGCATGATATAAGCTGTCAATTGCTATCCTACTTTGGACAGATAATGAGAAACAAAACTCACTAGAAAAGACAACACTAGGAAAAAAGGAAGGTATGAGAAAAACAGTAAGACATAACAACAGATACGTAGATTTAATCAAGAAAGGAAGCCGCAGCCTTTAGTTTGCAAGATCTGAGCAGTTACACTAATGGCCTTTGGGAGGCAATTAATTAAAAAATTACTGTAAGGCCAAAAGTGACTTGTCAGCACCTAATAACAGAGGTAAAACACAGCACATAATAACAGAGGTAAAACATCAATGTAATAGCACTGAAAAAATAACACCTAATCCTTAACTAAAATGTAGGATTCAAAATTGGCTTACAGTTTGAAAAGAACATAAAAACAAAAACAAAAATGTTAGAAATGCATTTACATTACTGAAATACTTTTACAGCAGAGTAATGCTAGATGGGTTCCATCCACCAATTCCTGGTCTCACATCTGCACATCTAGACTGTACTGTACCTACTTCTAAGCAGCAAAGTGCTGCCTTGTAATGGTTCCCACCAAAATGCAATCAGTATATATGATATCTTTGTGGCCATATAATCACACAAAGCATATCAAGGCAAAAACTCAAGTTTGTCGTTCTAAGCAAGGCAGAATGGAAAGATCCATAGAATGCTAGAGCTCCCAAGAAGGGTGACCATTCCTTCACCAAGCTATTTGTGCTCAAGACTATTTCTGAAATGCTGTGAACTAAAAAGAAGAAATCTGCTAGTTTTCAGTGCAGTACATCCAGTCAGCAATTCTGCCCATATCAATATTTTACAAGACAAAATCCCAAGTAATCCACATGTGCTTCAGACAATGATCTCCAGTCTAACTTCAGCAATGGAAAGGATGAAAATTTAGCTTATTCCATTCTACCCTATTCTTTCCAAAAGGAGCTTAGAGCAGGAATCCAAATTCACAACTATCTTAACCATATCCTTATAAGAAACCCATGTTTGGCCAAGAGGTTGCCTACTGTCCTTCACAATCTATAATATATTTTAACATAGGTTTAACCTGATTCTGGTCTAACACATATTAGTAAACCACACAACTCAGGGACATCAACCTTTAGCTTTCCAGATGTTTTTTGACTCCACTTTCCATCAGATCCAGCCACCATGACTTAAACTCCACCTTCTATCAGGTCCAGTCAACATGACCAACAGCCTGCCACCAAGAAGGCCAGAGGGCTCTTAAACATTCTGGATCAGAAGTGGGCAACTATTCCTGCACTAAAATGGGGATTGGGCTTAATGAGCATAGGTCCCTTCCAACTTCATTATTCTCTGATTTCATGATTTAGAACAGCAAAGGACTGCTTTTCAAGGGCTGTACTCCTAAGGAAGTACGTACGGAAAAGATACGGTCAAAATGCAAATTAAATTATTTCCCTTTTTAGCATTTTATACAACTATTTCAAGAAATTACAGTAATTCACCACTTGAGAAATTAAAGATTTGTAATATAAGAAGCACTTTCCCCCATAAAATATTACTCATCCTGTGGAAAGATTTAACAGGGATTTTTTTAAAAAATTCAGATTCATTCTTTCAAGCTAGCTAATTACATAATCAAGCTTAAACTGAAGAAAGTAGGAAAAATCACTGGGCTAGTCAGGTATAATCTAAACCACATCCCTTATGAATACGCAGTCGAAGTGAATAACAGATTTAAGGAACTAGATTTGGTGGACAGAGTGCCTGAAGAACTTTGGCTAGAGGCTCGTAACATTGTACAGGAGGCAGCAACAAAAACCATCCCAAAGAAAAGGAAATGCAAAAAAGCAAAGTGGCTGTCCAACGAGGCCTTAGAAATAGCAGAGAGGAGATGAAATGCAAAATACAAGGGAGATAGAGAAAGTTACAGAAAATTGAATGCAGACTTCCAAAGAATAGCAAGGAGAGACAAGAGGGCCTTCTTAAATAAACAATGTAAAGAAATAAAAGAAAATAATAGAAAAGAAAAAACCAGAGATCTGTTCAGGAAAACTGGAGATATTAGAGGAACATTTTGTGCAAAGATGGACATGATAAAAGACAAAAATGTAAGGGACCTAACAGAAGCAGAACACATCAAGAAGAAGTGGCAAGAATACACAGAGGAATTATACCAGAAAGATCTGGATATCCCGGACAACCCAGATAATGTGGTTGCTGACCTTGAGCCAGACATCCTGGAGAGTGAAGTCAAGTGGGCCTTAGAGAGCATGGCTAACAACAAGGCC